AACCCCCAACTCCCCAAATCCGTAAACCCCTAAACCCTATAAACCTCCAAACCCTATTCCCCAAGACCCTACACCCCTAAATCCAAACCTTAAACCCGAAACACAAGGCCCTAATTCGCTGGCTCTCCCCAGACCAGCCTGCGGAGCTTTCACGACGTTTAGAAGCCAAACATCCCAGCAAACCCGAAATTCCACCGGGTTTAACAAGATGATCTAGAATCGAGAAACCCTATGTCGGGTTCTGGGGTTTAGGGTTCGAGGGCTTCGGGTTTAGGGGCTCAGGGCATTGGGGCTTCTTAGGGTTTTTGGGTCTTGGGCTTTAGGGCCTTTCGGGTGCGTGTGATAGTGGCATGAGTCGGAGGGTAGTCTCGACTCGGAGCCGGTCTGCGCAAAAGCTAGAAACAAGCATCCAAGCATGGCCGAGGCGAAATGACCTTACAAAACCTCTTAGACTCTAAACCCTAAAGCCCTCAAGCACTAAACCCTAAACCTTAAACCCTAAACCCTAAGCCCTAAACCCAACCCCCAACCCCCCACCCCCTAGTGTTTTATATAAACACGACGCCTGCAGCGCTTGAGGCCCAGCTGCTCCAAAGACTGGGACACGGCTGGGCCGCGCGGCTCTTCGAAAGCCTGGGGAGCGACTTCGCCTCCCGGCCAACCTTTCTTAGGGGTACTTAGAAATATTTTTTGATTTTTGGTTATTATAGTCCCTAAGAAACAACTAAAGTTATGATTTTTGCTAGGGTTCTAAGTTCAGTATACTTTGTTTAGGGGGTTTAGGGTTTAGGGGTTGGGGTTGAGGGTTTGGCTCAGTTTAGGGTTTAGGGGTTGGGGAAGGAGGGAAGGTGAGACGGAGATGTCTTATTTTCACATTTCTTGGACAGTTTAGTGTTACTCAGTGTTGTGGTTTCCTCTGTTGGGTCTGGGAGTTGCTTTGGAGTTGTTCCGTTTTGCTTTTGGGCGATGTGTTGTTTTGCTTGTTGTAGTTCGAGAATTTTAGGGCTATGGTTAACGAGGTTCAGTTTTCTTGTTGAGGCTTCTATGGACTGTGTATCTACGCGTTGCATATTAAAACGGTCTTGGGTTTAGGGTTGTCGGGTGCAAGGCCCTTTTGGTGTTGTGATGGCAAGTGTTTGAAAAGGCGTTGAAGGTGCCCTGTAATTGGAACTTTAAGATGGGGTTCCACGCTTTGCATCATTTCCTGGCAATTGCTTTGTCTTTGTCATGGCATCAGACAGGGCGGTTCTGACTGTGTCAACGACCATGCATGATGAACGTGGTGATGAAGAGCCCTTGTCGATAATTGCCTGTTGCTCTGAGCAATGACGAAGAGCACAATGCCGATTTTTGACACACGTGAACTCACTTGCGCTACTGACAGCGACGGTTGGTCGATGATCATGCGGAGGAGCAGGAGGACGAGGATGACGATTGTGGATGATGCTGATGGGCGTGACGGTGCCGAGGATGATGTTGCTCGGATATGGATCCGGTGGTTGTAGTCTTGAGGATGCGACGCCATTACTGCTGCCCGGGGTGGTGCTTGGAAGGGCAGGGGACTTAGTAAGTAGGTTATAAGTAGGGTTATCATTGGGGTAACTCCATTTAGGGTACTTATAACTCTACTTACAACCTACTTACTAAGTCCCCTGCCCTTCCAAGTGGTGGTCATGGAAGTGGTGGTGCGGGCTTGGAAGTTAGACCCCGAGCCCTCGAACCTGACCACCAAGGTCCCCGTAAACCCCCAGCTGCAGAGCTGAACCCGACGCCCAAAATTCAAAACCCCCGAGCCCGAAACCCTAAACACCCCCAAACCAAACTGTTCTTAAACCCTAAACCCTAAACCCTAAACCGTATAGTTCCTTGGAGTCTGCTCAGAGAGAGAGAGAGAGAGAGAGAGAGAGAGAGAGAGAGAGAGAGAGAGAGAGAGAGAGAGAGAGAAGTCGAAGTCGTGATGCTTAGCAATGTTGTGTGATGTGTCTGTGAGGCCGTAAGTGCTTCGTCTGGACACTTTGTGTAAGCCCCTCGTGAGGCAGGCAACTTCCTGCTCGAGCTCGCTCGTGCACAGAAAGAAGCCATTGCACTTTTAAAAAAAACCGTGGATACCAAAGCTGAGGCCGGCGAGCTTTTCAAGCAACTGGGAACATCCTACACGGCTGCTCGGAGTCCTGATTTGTGAAACAAAGGGAGATGCCACGAGTCGTCGTAGTAGTTGTAGTATTAAGAAATCTAAGAATCTAGGGCCTTTAGGGTACAGACTCCGAAACATGTTTTGAGAGAGCTTCTTCCTGAAACTAGTGGTCTCTTGTTTCGGGGTCCGAGTGTCCTTTTTGAATTGAACTCCCCCAAATGTCATTAATTGGTATATTGCTAGACTCTCGAGCCCTGAGTTCGTGCGCCAAGCAGCCAGTACACCTTGAAAGCTCCACAGTTTTCTGCTCCGATGTGCACAGGTTCTGGTTGCTCAAGAATTCAACCATGCCCCGTTTACCGTTCAGATTGTTTGTCAACGACCTGCTTAATCCCACCGCTAGACTACTAAACCGTAGTAATATAGGGGCCGAAATAACTACCAAGAAAATTGTGGGGATTATAGTACAATATACCCCGACTCCCGACACTAATTATCCAGGCCCCTCTAATGCAGAACCCAAATATAGATCCCTTAAAGGGCCCTTTTCAAGGAGCCCTATTCTAAAACCCTAAGCCCTGAAACCCCAAAAGCCCAAAAGCGTAAAGCGAGGTTCAACTGGTCTCTGGGCTTGGCACCAGCTTTACAGCAAAACTTCTGAACACGACGGGAGGGCCGGGCGCTCAAAGGGTTTGAGGTTTAGAGGTTTAGGGTTTAGGGGTTTAGGGTTTAGGGGGGCTCAGTTTTGCTTTGACGGGTTGGGAAGTGTTGGTTTCGTGTTTTCGGTGTGTTGGATTTGGGTTGGAAGTTCCCTAAACCCTAAACCCTAAACCCTAAACCCCCCTTTGCCGGATTGCACTGTGTATTCTGCTTCTTGCTCTGAGGCCTGGCTTGAGGCCCCGGAAGGGCGGAGATAACTGGGTGGTTGTCAAAATTAGGGTCCCTTTTTGGGTGCCATAAATATTAGCTGTCGTATTATAGTAGGGACCCCAAAAGGGACCCTAGTTTTGAGAACCACCCAACTGTGTAATTTAGTTGGCATCCTGCAGGCCGAAGGGCATGTAGGTTGTAGGGTTTAGGGTTTGGGAGGGTCTACTTGGAAGGGCAGGGGACTTAGTAAGTAGGGTTATAAGTAGGGTTATAATTGGGGTAACTCCATTTAGGGTACTTATAACTCTACTTATAACCTACTTACTAAGTCCCCTGCCCTTCCAAGTAGGGTTTGGGAGGGTCTAGTGTTTGGGTCTAGGTTTCAGGGTTAAGGGTGAAACAGTGAAACTGTGACACCCAGCTTTCGCACGTGCGATGCAGGAAGTTCGCCCTGGGAACCTTCGTTGCATGCTCCTGCAAGCGCCGGTGCTGAACTTAAGGTGGCACCCAGTACTGTCTGCAGGAGGAGGTAGCAAGTACCAAGGTCATATGTGCCCAGAACGGATGTTCATGGGCACAAGGAGCTAGAAATGGTTGTTTGCATGCTTCGTGTATGTCACTGTGCATGTGGTGTAGGGGCCTAAAATGCAAGAACACCGAGGTATCCCCTCCCCATGTTGCGGTCCCTATATGGTCAAATACTATGACCCCTGTGCCAATTTGTTAAGCCGCTACAACACCCACACAGGTCCTACTTGGAAGGGCAGGGGACTTAGTAAGTAGGTTATAAATAGGGTTATAAGTACCCTAAATGGAGTTACCCCAATTTTAACCCTACTTATAACCTACTTACTAAGTCCCCTGCCCTTCCAAGTATAGAACCCTACAAATCTCAGGAGAGCCTTCCACAATCCTTCTCAGATTGTTGAGACCCGTATATGGGAGTTTCCGAATATTCGGGGTACCCTATTTTGAGGTTCTTCTAATAAGAATCCTACTATTTAGGGTGCTAGATTAGGGTCCTTTCGGAAACTCCCATATAAAGCGGGCCTCCGTCAGGGGTTGCTTCGGTCGGCGTCGAGGCGAATCGGGTCTAAGACTTCCTGTGCACCTAGTTATGGCAGTCATGGTAACTATAGTACGGCAGTAGGGTAATTGAAATCCCGATTACATCCTACGTACTTGCTAAGACCTCTGCTCGGTTTAACATCCCAGGAAATCCAGCGATTCCGATGCGAGACGCTGCACGCCTTGCTGCGCCGGACCCTTTTCACGGCGAGCGGGAGAAAGCCGGATGCGGACGTGCTTATAGACTTTCATAAGGGCTTGCTGAAAGGATCAAGAACTCAATCTCAATCACTATCATCGGGATAGTATGGAATCAGCAATTAGATGGTAGGCTTTCCTGACTTAACCTTAGACCTAAGTTACGTCAGAAAAGCCCTAACCCAGGTCGGGGCAGCTCTAGCTTATGGCATGGGGACCGCAAGCTTAGGCCTAGCTTGCCTGCTGATTAGTGTATAGGTTTAGGATCTATAGGCCTTGGGGTTTACGGTTTAGGGTAGGCTGTAAGTGAACATCGAATCAGGGTACTGTAAAGAGAATACTACAGGTATGATGTAGAAGTTCACAAGTCTGTTCTGGTTCTATTGGCCCCCCCCATATCAATTTCGGACTTCAACCATATCCTCTTTGCTAAGGCTGCTATGCCCCCCTGCTCCTTCAAGTAGTCCTCCTCGACGCTGGCAACTCATCTCCCAGATCCGAGCTGTCATTTTACGCGCTCAAGACGAAACGGGGCTGCACGTTGAGGCCCTAATATGAGCTCATTTTTGTCATATAGAACTCAGGGTTGCAGTTGAGGGCTAGCCTGAACATGCATGCCAGCACCTCCATAGACGGACGCCCGAGACTCTACATCCCCCTACCTACACCCAAGTAGGCTTTACAAGCTCTGTTTGTTCCAGGCTTAGGCATTTTATAACTATCTGCTGCCATGACGGGACCACGGGGTCTGCGTGGCTTGGCGCCTCGGAAGGCATTCAAGCAGGTCGCGGGAGGCCTCGTGTGGTTTCAAAGACTGACACTTGCGCGGACCTTCCGGATTCTAAGAGGTTCATGAGTAATTAACCCAGAGGGTCCATATATACTGCCAATATGGACTTAGGTCTCCACTAGTAAGGATGGTCTTTGGGGACCTAATTCCATAATAAATAGTAGTGTATATGGACCCCGCACCCTCTGGGTAAGGTTGAGATGAGGCTTTCAGGGGGTTGATCATTTAAAGGGAACTCCAGAAAGTTGGAATATGGATTAATGGTAGCATCCCCTATAATTTACCTTAAAGGGGTTACGATAATGCTATTCCAACTTTCTGGCTTCTACTGTAGGGTTGTTTGACGGTACTCTCACAACATGCTCTCCCCTGCCAGCTTGAGGGCTCCCGCAAAGCAGCCTTAACCACGAATCTCGGCACCTTATACCCCTAAACCCCAAACGGCCCTACACCCTGAACCATCCTAAACCGCAAACTATCCGGTCAAAGCACCCTAGATCCTAAACCCCAACCCCAAACTACCCTTTCCGAACATAGGTTCCTACTAAAGAGGAGTATGCCCAGACCTAGTAGCTGGAGATCTTTTGGGCTTCGGTTTACGATTCAGAGCGACGGGTTTAGGGTTCAGAAACAGGACCTTGAGCAAAGGAAGGGGTTACTATAGGGGCTTAAATAATTACCAGGGTTCCTTTAAATTGATACTAAAAAGGGTTCCATCAGGATTTAGGGATATGCAGGAGGCTTGTGGTTGCTTGACGTTCGCGCTCGAGGATCAGTGCAAAGTCTTGCAGCGCTAAAGCCCCACGAACCCTAAACCCGAAACCCTGCACACTTGCAAAGTAAACCCCGAAGACTACCTAAACTCTGGGCTCTGTGGGAGGGCGAAACCCTTACCGTGCCCTCGCCCCAGGGGTCCAAAGGACTGACAGACTCACTATTTTGGTTTAGGATAGTCGCGGGTAATGGTGGTAGCAGTAGTAGTAGTAGTAGTAGTAGTAGTAGTAGTAGTAGTAGTAGTAGTAGTAGTAGTAGTAGTAGTAGTAGTAGTACTAGTAGTAGTAGTAGTAGTAGTAGTAGTAGTAGTAGTAGTAGTAGTAGTAGTAGTAGGAGCAGTAGGAGGAGTAGGAGGAGTAGGAGGAGTAGGAGGAGGAGTAGCAGTAGGAGTAAGAGTAGGAGTAGGAGTAGGAGTAGGAGTAGGGGTAGGAGTAGGAGTAGGAGTAGGAGTAGGAGTAGGAGTAGGAGGAGGAGGAGGAGTAGGAGTAGGAGTTGGAGTAGGAGTAGGAGTAGGAGTAGGAGTAGAAGTGGGAGTAGTAGTAGTAGTAGTAGTAGTAGTAGTAGTAGCAGCAGCAGCAGCAGTAGGAGTAGTAGTAGTAGTCGTAGCAGCAGGAGTAGTAGTAGTAGTAGTAGTAGTAGTAGTAGTAGTAGTAGTAGTAGTAGTAGTAGTAGTAGTAGTAGTAGTAGTAGTAGTAGTAGTAGTACTAGTAGTAGTAGTAGTAGTAGTAGTAGTAGTATAGTAGTAGTAGTAGTAGTATAGTAGTAGTAGTAGTAGTAGTAAGTAGTGTAGTAGTGTAGTGTAGTGTAGTGGTAGTGGTAGTGGTAGTGGTAGTGGTGGTAGTGGTAGTGGTAGTGGTTGGGTGGTAGTGGTGGTGGTGGTGGTGGTGGTGGTGGTGGTGGTGGTGGTGGTGGTGGTGGTGGTGGTGGTGGTGGTGGTGGTGGTGGTGGTGGTGGTGGTGGTGGTGGTGGTGGTGGTGGTGGTGGTGGTGGTAGTGGTAGTGGTTGTGGTTGTGGTAGTTGTGGTAGTTGTGGTAGTTGTGGTGGTTGTGGTGGTTGTGGTGGTTGTGGTGGTTGTGGTGGTTGTGGTGGTTGTGGTGGTTGTGGTAGTTGTGGTAGTTGTGGTAGTTGTGGTAGTAGTGGTAGTAGTGGTAGTAGTGGTAGTGGTAGTGGTAGTAGTAGTAGTAGTAGTAGTAGTAGTAGTAGTAGTAGTAGTAGTAGTAGTAGTAGTAGTAGTAGTAGTAGTAGTAGTAGGAACGGAATACAAGTTCCCGAATGCACAATGCGGGCTATGGGGCCGTAGTAAGTCAAGCAGAGTTGGTTTCTTGGTCAGAGTACATGAGATAGTCGGACAACCCTAAACAATAAAACCCTAAACTGGACATTGCACTTAACAAAGCCCTAAACTATCAGAAAGAACTTGAATGTGTGATTATCTGCCATATTCAGGTCCCCATGTATTGTGTGGACAGGAGTCTTTTTTCTTGCGATCCGCAAGCTGCTTTGGAGTTTAGGATGATCAGGGTTTCGGGTTCCGATCCAGGCATGATCACAAGCAGCCGAAGCTCTGAACCCACAGGTTCTTCAAGTTCCCTCCAACCCCTGAACCTTTTAGGGTTTAGGCTTTAGGGTTTAGGGTCCAAGTTAACTAGCTCGAACCCGTGATCCCAAGCATCAACAGAAAACAGATAGGATCGACTCTGAGGTGCTGAGTCTGCTTGCGCTTACAGCCGTTTGGCAGACTTCCACCTGGCCAGGGGCCCAGGATCCAGGAAGCTGTTCGTGTTTGTTGTCCAAAGAAAGCTTTTCAGGGCTCTAGGGTTGGAGGTTCAGGGTGTCGGAGTGAAGGGGTAGGGAGTGTAAGTTAATGGTGTATTAGAATGGCGTTTAGGGTTGAGGCGTAGATCATTAATGTCAGGGCAAAGTACGCCATAAGGGAGCTAGAGTCTCCGTAGTATAAGTGCTCATAGTAGTGTTAAGGTCGTGACAAACCAGCACCTGAAGCAGTAGTGTTTATGCTAATGGAGTGTGGTGAGTGCATATACGGCTCCATAGGAACATTGTTGGTGACTGTAAGTCGGGGGGCTAACATCACATGATTACCTTGCAACTGGGTCAAGGTATCTAATTATGCAAAATGCAGCAACGCAACACGAAGGGGCCTTTCGAAGGACCGTAGTAACCTTGAAAGCAATCCTGATTCACAAAACGGTCGACCACGGCAAAGACCTTCACCGGCCCATTCAACATTTCAAACCGGCTCCTAAACCCTACGTAAACCCTTTCAAAACGACTGCATGTACCACACCCTCGAACGCATAAAACACCCACAGGGCTGGCAAGCAAACACTGAGTGCTAATCCGCACAATCCATCACCACTGAACCGTAAACCCTACTTAAGCCCTTCGGCCACCTAAACCCTAAAACCCTAAACCCCCAAACCCCAAACAGTAAACCCCCACACCTTGAACCCTGAACCCTAAATCAGGTTCTTTGTTGGAGGCTTGCAGTCAGTCGCGCCAAGGCCAAATTGTCAGGGATTCTGGACGAAGTCGGCGTTGTAGACCATTAAGTTTGAAGCCGAACGCCCTACAAACCCCGATGCCTACCACCGTACGGGCCAGAACCCTGCCAAAATTTTCACAGCCCTGAAGCTTAAACCCTGGAGCCACGAAAACCCTCAAGGCCTACTTGGAGGATCATGGGACTTAGTAAGTAAGGTTGTAAGTACCCTATTTGGGGTTATAAGTACAGTTACCCTAATTATAACCCTAGTTACTAAGTCCCATGATCCTTTAAGTAGAGCCCGAAACTTCTAGGTTTTCGGTGTGATATACGGTTCAAGGTTATTTAGTGTTTCGGATTTGCACTTATGTTTCCGGTTTCTCTGGTTAGGGTTTCTGAAAACCTCATCTGGGTCTTGGCGAGCCAGTTTTGTTCAAAATGCTGCTGTGGGTCGGCAGTGGATGAAGGAATACATGCAGGCTGCCCTTCATGGAACAGTCAGCCGTGTACCAGCACCATGCTAGATCTAGAAACACTTGCAATCAAGTTATCTTCGCTGTTTCCAGCAGCAGCAGAAACTCACTACAAGATCGTGCCTGACTAGTAAGAAAACCCTAAACCCTAAACCCTAAACCCTAAACCCTAAACCCTAAACCCTAAACCCTAAGCCCTGAACCCGCATCTTCAGTCCTTCTCCGGCCCCTGTGGTTGCAGGGGCGTGGCGCTGCGCTCAGTGGCCATCTCGGATGTGAAGGATGTGACGACTGAGGTGCGTGGCGAGGCGCGCAGGTCGTAATTCAACAAAAATGACGTCTTTCTACAAGTTGACACCACGCAGATCTTGTGGAAGCCGTTGATCAAGATTCCTTGCAGAATTCTCAATTGATTGCACTGTGTTGTCTTTTATGTAAATCGCTGTCACATATATTCCCGCAGTTGCAGTCGGGTCAGAGATTTCAGCCGTTTCTCTCAGAGATCATTTCCGTCGACCAAACCCCAAACCCGAAACCTCAACCCAGCGGCCCGAACCACCCGAGTGATCACCGATGCCAGGAAGGCACGTCCACTTATCGGAAGTTCTTCCTAACCGGCGACCAGGACACTGAGTTTCGGCTTTGCGTCGAGGATGTTCGTTGCAGCAATCAGCATAATCAGCTCAGGCGGTGCTGGAGTTGCACATACATCTACATACATAACATCCTTCCATACAAACTATGCCTTCTGTAGCCCTAAGGGTCCATGTACCCAAAAAGTATATACTTTGGGCCCAATGTACCCATATAGGGAGTACGTTAAAGCCAATGCATCTACTATTTTGGTACATGGACCAAAAGGGTAGTGAACATCGATCATCTTGAAGCCCGCAAACGGCCACTGCGCCTTCTTGGGTGTAGCCTCAGGCTTGGTTTTGGGGTGTTTAAACGGTCTTGCAGGGTTTTGCGTGGTGCATCACGTGCCACATGGGGGTTCCGAAAATAGGGGACCCTAATGTAGTACCCTGAATAGTAGGACCCCTATTATAAGGACCCCCAAATAAGGTACCCCTATTTTCGGAAACTCCCACATAACCCTAAGCCCCAAAGCCCAAATCCTAAACCCTAAAGCCTGTAGATCGTAAACCCTAAAGGTTTTGCAAACCCTCTGTCCCGAACCCAAGGTGTGTTCTCGTTAAGCAATTTAGTTGAAGCGCGGATAATAGGGGCATAAACCAGAAGTTTATAGTAACAAGCTTGTCCTCATTGTGTTACCTCCAGGCGTTTTCCGTAAAGCCCGAGAAAGCCCGTATAAAGACTGTATGGCCAGACAGCCCACCCAAACCGCTACACTTATTTGGAATCGCTACAATCGCAGTTAAACCACCAACGCCTGCCAACTCAGAAGCCTTAATGACTAAACATACTAGTCCGTGGTTCCTGAAAGCGTGGAGCAATATTGGTCATGTCTGACGCTCTTGCCTTCAGGAACCAATTACATCGTACACTTTGGAGGAAAAATGCCATTCCCTAGAGTTCCTTGTCGGAAGTATACCTGAAAAGTGCCCCAAGACCCTCTTCTAACTTCTAAGTGCCCCTGCAACTCCAAAATCCCTACGAAACCCTGGCAGGAGCCCTTACAGACCCTTAACCCTGAACCCTAAACCCTTAAACCCTGAACCCTAGACCCTAGACCCTAAACCTCTAGACTCTAAACCCCTAAGCCCTAAACCCTTCAACCCTTAAACCCCACACCCCGAACCCCTAAACTCTAAAGCCCTGAACTAAGCCCTAAACTCGATTTATCCCATGCAGTCGTGGCCAGGAGATATCGCCCTGGCACGACCTGCCCCTCGAGACCGAGGTGATCGGGTTCTTAGGGTTTAGGGTTTAGGGTTTTAGGGCTTAGGGTTATAAGACAACTTAGGGTTTAGGGTTTTCGGGTTTAGGGTTATAGGGCAACTTAGGCTTTAGGGTTGTAGGGTTCGGGGTTGACAGGGCTTGCGGCGTTGAGGGAATATTAGCGCTATCGTGTCTAATATAAAAGATTGAATCATTGCAAATGTCATTCCTTCGGGCTCCTTAGTGTAATACCATACCCCAAAGCCCCTATCCCAATCAGTGAGGCTCATACCATTACATACATGTTTTGGGTTTGAGGGGCTTTTAGCGATCGCAGTTCAGGAATTGGATGTACAATGCCCTGCCTCTTAAATCCTAAACCATACTGTACACCCCTAAATCTCGAACCTTCGCACCGCCAAACCCCTAAGAGGGCGTGCGTTTGGCGGCTTCGGGACATATGGGAGTATTTTGGGACCCTGATAAAGATACTAAAACACTACGGATTAGGGTATTATATTACGGCCCCTACTTCGGAAACTCCCATCTGGAGAGCTTGAAGGGAAGTTGCTGCGAGTTTCGGGGATTTATGCAAGGAGGTGTGAAAGACGACGGAATACTTAACTGCTAGCCCTAAACCCTGAACCCTCAACCCTGAAACTATACCAGCCTCCGGGTTTAGGGTTTAGGCTTTACCTGTAGATCCAAGAATCTACCGTCTTAAGGGTTAGACCTCTAATTAAGGGGTCTTAGCCTACTATTCTGTCGGGTTACCAGAGCCTGAGCCCGATAAGCCGCAGAGGAGAATGGCGTCTATTGGATGGTCACCGAGATTCCAAAGAATACAAAGAGCAAGATGGAGATCGCGACGAAGGATCCCCCATCCTGGGTTTCCGGGTGTAGGGCTTTAGGGCTTTAACCTAAATATTAATTACCCTTATAATTTTGTAATATACATGTGTAAAGTTTGGCAGGCTTGGGTGCACATGCATCATTCTAAGCTTGCCGCTGGAGGGACTGACCCGTTATGCTTTATGCTGTCTCCCGTGTGGCAGTGCATACGGAGGAGCAGCTTCTCCATACGGCCGCGCTCCTGGAGTTCAGAGCCTTTGCACTCATCCGGGCCGTGCTTGCTGTTCAGCCGGAGTGCGAGTTCGGTATCACCCCGCGGGTCTAACCCCCTTCTTTGTTGCTGCCAGTGACGCAGCTGAGGATGTTCCAGGCAAAGGCTCCGGGGGGTTCCATCTCGTTTGGCTGGATACGCCAGAGGTTCGGGAGAGCTCCGTGTCTGCAATTGGCCCGGAGGTTTCTGCTTGCTTCACTCCTGTTGACCACAAAATAGCCCAAGTGGAACTAGCGATGGTCTTAGCTCCGTCTTTTCGCGGCAGGCGGGGCTATTGGTATATTGACAATATAGCGGCGCTCATGTCGTTGATCCGCGGTCGCTCGAGTTCTCCGGACTTGGAAAGGCTTGCCCAGTTGATTCATGTGGCCATGTTCGCGTTTGGTACCTCTTTCTTTTCGAGTATATTCCGTCCAAGACCAATTGGGCTGACGCTGTCAGTAGCGTTGGTTTTGCTGAACCCTGGCTTCACCAGCGTCGCTTCTCTTGCCATGTGGCCTGTTTTCCTTGTCAGCTCGTGGATCTCCCTTTCCTCGCCGTGCTGCGGGTGTTCGAGTTTCTTTGAAGGAGTGCTTTGGGGTGTTAAGAGCATTGGGTGTTCCCTTCCGAGGTTTGATATGTTCGAAAGATGGGAACCATTCTGTTCATGTCGCTACCTCGAGGTTTTTACCAAAGCACTATCTCGGAGTGTCCGGGTTACCTTCAAAGTATCGAACTGGAAGCAGCAGTGAGTGCGATGTTGGAAAAGAGAGTGCACGAGCTGTATCCGTCTAGTGCAAGCTGGAATGTATACATGTGTAGAGTTTGGCAGGCTTGGGTGCACATGCATCATTTTAAGCTTGCCGCTGGCTGGCTCACGTGTGATCCAAAACGGCAGGCAGCTGATTTTGCCCACCCACCCGCCCTGATTGGACTCGGCCTCCAGTGGAGTCGCCCAGTCCTTTGTGGGGTTGCGCATGTTTGCGACTACCTTGAGGTGAGGGAGCGACCCTGGTTCGGATGGGTGTTCCTTTCCGAGGTTTGATATGGTCGAAAGGTGGGAACCTTTCTGTTCATGTCGCAACCTCGAGGTTTTTATCAACGCACTATCCCGGAGTGTCCGGGTTACCTCCAAAGTATCGAACTGGAAGCAGCAGTGAGTGCGATGTTGGAAAAGAGAGTGCACGAGCTGTATCCGTTTAGTGCCAGCTGGAATGTTATAGTAAAATGCGTCCCAAAACACTATTCTAACTGATTCTAACTATTACGGCCCCTATACTATTTACCAGATACCATTTCCATGTTCTAACCATGCACCACCACCTAGCACCAAAACCATGACAAGCTATGCCCTACCTCCAACCCACCGAATGACCCATAGGAAGACCCCTAGGATGGAACCAGCAAAAAACCCATAGGAAAACCCACATATAAAATAACATACTCATCCCCATAGCATGCCCCAGCACATAGACATCCCATCATACCCAACCCGAAGCCCCTAAGGGTCTGATTGATTCAAACTTCGATAATGAAAATTAGGTTTAGGAAGAAGGTAATAAAATAACGCACCCCCTAGGCCATATCATAGAGCCAAACCCGGGCCCCTCAACAGAAACCTTCAGCAGACCCACCAGAACCAACTGGACAACCTTATCTAGGCCATATCATACACCCAAAGCCCAGACCCTTGCACAAGAACTCACGTCACCCCACCCCTCCCACCAAGAACCCAACCACGCGATGCCATCCTAAGACCAATACCCTTTAACATGTGGAGCTGCCATAGTAGGCAACCTCTAATCCCGAAGGTGAGTGTACGGTTGAGGGTTTGGGTTTTTGGGTTTACCGTTCAGGGTTTAAGTTTTAGGATTTTGGGTTCAGGGATAAGGCCGTCCCGCTTTACAGACAGATGTCTATTGCTCAACAGCAGTTCGTGTTAAGCTCTGTTCTGATGCAAGTCAGGATCTATTGCCAAGGGATGATTTCAATTTTCAATTGCCTTCACTCCATCAAGGCACCCATATGCATATTATTTGCCTCCCACTGCCTGCCTGCCCCCGAATCAACTTCTGACCCAAGATCCAAAACTCGATTGCTGTCGTCCTGGCCTGTATGCTGCTGAAGCCATGGCCAGTTTTTCTTCTGAAAATGTTCATGTTTTCTTGGGCAATGCGGTTGTGCCTTCCTGTTCCTCCTGTCTCCGGGCGCTCTTCAGCGTGTTTTGGATTGCTGCAGCTTCAACCTGTCCGCTGCTTCTCCAGCAACATGCATGGACGGATTGGATGCTCGACGTCCTCACTTAACTTCATCAGAAAATCTCAAGCTGGAAGCTGTGAAAGAGGGCAAGCTGTTGGCCGGCATGCTTGTCCGTGGCCATGGCAGGTCAAGGGGCCAGTGTGCTTCCGACCAGTTCTGGCGGCAGGTTTTGATCATACTTGCGCGGTGCGGTCAGACGGTCGGTTAGTCTGCTTCGGAGACAATGCTCATGGGCAATGTGATGTGCCAGCGGACCTGGGGCCAGTTGTGGCAGTCACAGCGGGCAAGCATCATACTTGCGCAGTGCGGTCAGATGGTCAGTTGGCCTGTTTTGGTGATAACGAATATGGGCAGTGTGATGTGCCCGCTGGCTTGGGATCAGTGATGTCGCTCTCAGCAGATTTTTATCACACTTGCGCAGTGGGGTCAGATGGTCAGCTGACCTGTTTTGGTGACAACGAATATGGGCAGTGTGATGTGCCAGCAGACGTGGGACCAGTTCTGGCAGTGGCAACAGGCAAGCGTCATACTTGCGCAGTTCGGTCAGACGGTCAGCTAGTCTGCTTTGGAGGCAAGTATCGGTATCGTTGGAATTGTGGTGAAGTGCCAGCTGACTTGGCGCCGGTTCTTGAAGTCTCAGCCAGCTTTGTGCACACTTGCGCTATGCGGGCAGACGGTCAGCTAGTCTGCTTTGGAGACAATGGTCAGGAGCAGTGTGATGTGCCAGCAGGCTTGGGGCCTGTTCTGGCGTTCTCAGCAGGTTTGAGCCATACTTGCGCAGTGCGCTCAGATGGCCAGCTAGTTTGCTTTGGGTTCAACAAATATGGGCAGTGCGATGTGCCAGTGGACCTGGGACCAGTTTTGGCAGTCACAGCGGGTGGGGATCATACTTGCGCAGTGCGGTCAGATGGTCAGCTAGTCTGCTTTGGATGCAACCGTTGGGGGCAGTGTGATATGCCCGGCAGGCTTGGGATCAGTGATGTCTCTCTCAGCAGATTTTTATCACACCTGCGCAGTGGGGTCAGATGGTCAGCCCGCTGGCTTGGGATCAGTGATGTCTCTCTCAGCAGATTTTTATCACACCTGCGCAGTGGGGTCAGATGGTCAGCTGGCCTGTTTTGGTGACAACGAATATGGGCAGTGTGATGTGCTAGCAGACGTGGGACCAGTCCTGAATTCTGGCAGTGGCAACAGGCAAGCGTCATACCTGTGCAGTTCGGACGGATGGTCAGCTAGTCTGCTTTGGAGGCAAGTATCGTTGGCAGTGTGGTGATTAGGGATTTCAGGTCGGGGAATATGTTTTTTCTACGGGGGTATTGTTGTATGGAGTTGAGGTTGGGGTTTTTCTATGGGGTGATGTATGATTGGTTTAGGGTTGAGGCATAGGTTGTTATGGTTTGGGGGCTAGGGGGTGGTGCATGGTTAGAAAATGGAAACGGTATCTGCTAGCTATATCAGGGTTTAGCATTGCGGGCCAGTTCCGCGTTTAATCTGGGGTTTAGAGTTTGGAGGGCACGGGTGGTACTCGAAAAGACTCTTCGTGGGTTCTTTCAGCGGTCGTACTTTGTGTTGGGCCTTGGGGCTTGATGGTTGTTTCTGCTCTGGTACTCAGGTTGGAAGGATTTTAAAACCTCTTCAATCGCAAACTTGCTATTGGAGGTGCCATATCTTCTGCAAATTCGCACTGCCTGCCACACTCCTCCAAACCGGAATCCTGAAGATCGAAGCCTCAGCCTTCAAACTCTAAACCCCAAAGCCTAAACGCCAAACCCCTAAACCCTTAAACCCTTAAACCCTTAAACCCTTAAACCCTTAAACCCTTAAACCCTTAAGCCTTAAACCCTAAACCCTACTTGGAAGGGCAGGGGACTTAGTAAGTAGGTTATAAGTAGAGTTATTAAAGTACCCTAAATGGATTTACCCCAATTATAAGCCTACTTATAACCTACTTGCCTAGTCCCCTGCCCCTCCAAGTAGACCCTAAACCTTAAACCCCATAGATCCCTTTTAAGGAACCCTATAGATCCCTTTAAGGAGCCCTACTTACTAAGTCGCCTGCCCTTCCAAGTAGACTGCGAACCCTTAGCCCGACTCCCATTTCACCCAGCCCTGAGCTGCCGCGCCTCGTTGCCAGGAGTCGTCCAACCCCATTGCCCAAGACACGAAGCGGCTCGCCTAAAGGAAAGGTCGGTATATGTGGGTATTGTCAAACTTTTGGTCCCTTTGTGGGTACCTTGTATATTGTGTGCCGTGCTAGATTAGGGACCCCAAAAAAGGCACCATAATTTTGGCAACCACCCAAGTAGTCGTTACAACTAATCTTGGGGCCTTGGGTTCCGAGTTTAGGGCTGTTGTATACCTCAAAGGAAAGGTTGGAAGACGTAGTGGCACCATTATACCCCTAGAGTCCAAGTTTAGGTTTTGAAGTCCCTTATACCTATACGAAGGCTTCGGGTGCACAGTGGAGGAGTGAGCGGTCACTACAGGTGGAGGGTTCTTCTGTGGTAACACAGAACAACTACCACCAGTAACTTCAAAGTATTCCTTAGATCTCGTGATGAATATGTTTGTCGGCAACGAGCTCCAAGCCCTATTCTCCCTGTATTGCTTGCATCATATTGTAGTTTAGAGTAGAGTAGCTGCCCCGACACCACCCAAAAGAGGATTCTACTCTAGAAGGGGCCCCCACCCTGTAATAGTGACTATAAGGATTATATGAGGGCCCTATTATGTGCACCTCGACAGGGAGCAAGCCCTAGTGGCTGCTTATACATGAGAGGCCCTAGACCCAAATCGGAAAAGGAGGGACCCTTAATGCCTACCCTATAATGGGCTATATAATGGATATAGAATAGCTATATTAAGGGTATATACCTAGGGGTCCTTATTAAGCGTGCCTCCTTTTACCCTTGGATAGACCCCAGATTAGAAGACAGGAAACAGAAGTCATGAAATCCGGAGCCCCAGCCCCAGAACCCTAAACCCGGAAAACCTCAATCCGTGAGTGCTGAACCCCCAAAAGCTGCCTAGATCGTAGTTGTATCTGAGAAGCTTGGCCAATGAGCTACATTCAGTATGAAGCTTGGCTACTCCACTGTTATTGATGCGGGACATGGGATTCTACATGCGGGTCTTATTAAGGAACCATATCCTTTCGGGTTTTCCTATTTTGTTTCGCAGCCGCTCATCCTAGGAAGGGCAAGCTCCGCGAGTACCACGGCTCCTGCCTCAGGGTTGTCAATGAACCTAGGTCGTGGTGCTTCTTAAGTCCGTGTCCTTGCATATCCAGCCTTGAAGCTTGTTTGCTTTTTGCTCAAGTGCGTAGCGTTCAGAAAGTTTGGGCATTCAACAAGTAAGAAGTAGGCTCCGTGTTTTTGTAAGGCATTCTTTTCCGCTCCGGGTCATTGGCGGCGTCAGAAGTTTGGGTTTCCTCACTTGTAAGGGCGTAAAGTTCAGGGCGCAGGGGTTAGTACTTTGGGCTTCGGGTGGCCCTGCAACCCCTGACAGTTCGAAAGCCGATGGAGCTTTCGAGCTTTATTATGGACACCAGAACGGGGCCCTTTGTGAAAGGAAGCGAGCTTACGTCATTACCTTCACACAGATATTTGCGGAATATTCTCAGTGGCACCCAGTGAGTATGATTGTTTTCCTGTTGTGCCATCTTATATAACTGAAGTAATTAATAATCGCAAAGTTATTTTGTAGATACGGTTTTGCTTTGCTTATTGGTATCTTATATGAAGCTCCTTGGCAAGAATCCACAAAGCCCGCAACATTGCAATGCCATGACTCCAGGCACCAGAAACTCAGAGCCCGGAAGGAGGGTCCCAACCCTGAAACCCGAATACCACTTAGTGAAGGGTGTTCTAGGGTTCTATGTGTTTTCGTGTGGTGTTTGTAGGGGCTTTTGCAAGTCCTTAACCTAGGAATAAGGAGTAAACTATGTCCCTTAAGGGGTAATCGGGTGTTCCCGATCTTCCCGCTGGAACTGAATCGTCAGCCCTGTTTAGGGATTGTGGTTCAGGATTGAGTAATTGCCAACATTTTTCCCTAGGGCTCTTTGTTAAACTCACAGCTGTAGTCCGTTAGTATGGCCCCAGACCCTATTCCAAAGATATGGGGGGTTACTAAGATAGGGGACCCTCATATAATACCCCAAATAGTAGGATCCTTATTATAAGGACCCCAAATTCAGGGACCCCTAATTTTCGCAAACTCCCATATAGGCCCCTATACACGCAAGGTCCCATCTACTGGAACTACGGCTACTTGCCTCAGACTTGGGAGGAGCTCGACCTTCCAAAGTGAAATTCTGGGCTTAGGTTCTACCTCAACCCTGAATAACCTACCTTTTTAGGGTTCTGGGCTTAGGTTCTACCTCAACCCTGAATAACCTACCTTTTTAGGGTTCTGGGCTTAGGTTCTACCTCACCCCTGAATAACCTACCTTTTTAGGGTTCCTTATTATGATTTCCTTATACATAAACAAATAAATAGACAGATAGCTAGATAAATAGATAATAAAGAAATAAATAGATAAATAAGTGTGTGTGTATATATTTTTATATTTGTTTGTACATTTTTTATGTCCTTAATAGAGGGTTTGCAGGACTCATGGGGTTTATAGGGCGTGTAGGGCTGACAGGGCTTTGAGGGTTTTGGGTGGTGGTTCAATGCCTGGGATTTATACGGTTTAGGGAAGCGCAGGTATGTTGGTGAAGGAACCACGAACCCTGAAATACCAAAAAACAAGGCCCCAATTCCCAAATCGCAAAACTTGAAAGCCCATTCAACCCGAGCCGAGGGCTCATGCTGCTCGAAGGTGGGTCTAGGTTTGAGAACCCGGGTCCGTTTTTTTGGTTTGTGGTTAAGGGATGAGGGCTTCCTTTTGGAAAGAAAAACCCCCGCACTCATGTACGGCCGACTGCCAGAATTCGGATGTTAAGCTTTAAACTTGGTAGGATCCAACCACACCAAAAAATCCAAAGCCTACAGTCCTGAATCCTGAACCCTGTAATTAAGTCCTACGCGCCCCAAGCTCTATCTCCTAACAATCCCTACATGGTCTTATATTGTATAATATATACCCCCGAAGGCTATGCAAGTTTCGAACGATCCTGCGTTAGACCTCCAAAGCCCGAAATCCACCACAACCACTAAATCCCAGAGCCCAACACTGAAATCCAAACCCCAGGCCTTAGACCCTAAGCCCAAATTCCAAGGTACAGGTATAAGTAGTATAATATACTCCAGACCCAGACCCTTTTTCATATCACTCAAGCCCGCATATAAGAACCCCCCCCCCCCCCCCCAAAAAAAAAAAAAAATAATAATAAACATGCTAGACCCAAGCCTACTCCGCTACACCCCTCAAACTCCGCCACAACCCAAACCGCCCCAATCCCTAAATCCTCAAGCTTAAACCCAGACCCGACATCACTGAGCTCGAAACCCAATGTATACTCTTACTTAGTATTTAACTTACCCCAAACCCTGTTCGAATTGCTAAGGCCCCTCATATCAGCCCCCCCCCCCCCCCCCCCCCCCCCGCCGCCACCAAAGCCCTAAATGCTCAAAAGATCCACCATCCCTGAGCTCTAAACCACAAATTGAGGTCACTTGTATATACGTAGCATAACATACCCCAAACCCTGTATCATTTTTTACAAAGTAGACACCAAGAAGTTGGAAGCTGGATTGAGGACAATTAGTGCTGGGAGTCCTTAGGTAATTATCTTGCTCTTCAGGATTGAAGCTTTTGTGTTTCCAACTGGTGGAGTTCTGCTGTACCCTCATACTAGACCACGAGAGCTCTGAACCCAGAAATATTGGGTTTAGGGTTTAGGGTTTAGGGTTTGCTACACCTCGGACCCGATTCTAGTTGCCAAGGCCCTTCTTGTACTAGACCCCTCCCCCGGGCAGAGCTCTAAACACAAAATTAAAATGCGCAGGATCCCAATGTCGAGCATCCAGACCTCAAGGTCAAGGGCGACAACGATCCCGTGGACGTGGTGCCTTGGCTTTGGGATTTAGCAGCTTAGGTTTTTGGTTTCGGGTTGATCTGCAAGCATAAAAGAGACCCGAACCCCTTCAACACAGCAACCGCACAGTATCTCCAACTGTAAACCCGTATAGCACATTGCAGATCCCATCCCTAAACCCTTAACCAGCAAACCCTAAACTCTAAGACCCTAAAACCTTATAAACCCTACAGCCCTAAACCCTAAAACCCTAAAATGCCCATGTCCCGAAATAACCCTACATAAATCCTAAACTGCCCCGCGCCCTCTTGAGGTGGAGATCGGCTCCCGGACGAACTTTCAAGGCGAAATCTCCAAGGTGAAGGCGCGAGCCTTTGGGTCACAGGAGCAAGGGGTTTAGGGTTTAGGGTTTAGGGTTTAGAGTTTAGGGTTTAGGGTTTAGGGTTTAGGGTTTAGGGTTTAGGGTTTAGGGTTGTGTGTTGGGTTTAGGGTTGTGTGTTGGGTGGTAGGGGTGTAGGGTTGTGTGTTGGGTGGTAGGGGTTTCCGGATTGGAGATTGGGGTTTGGTGCTTAAGGCTTTCAGGGTGCGGAGTGTCACGGCTTGGGGTTCAGAGGTTTTGGGGGTGTATACGGGGCTGGTTGGGGTTTAGGGTTTAAGGGGGTCCACGAGGATGTTAAGGTGTGGGTGTTAGGGGTTTGTACAGGGTTTGAGGCTTGGGGGCTCGAGGGGTCTGTGCAATATAGGGCTTGAGGGTTTAGGATTTTCTCAGATGGCCGGGTGACTACTTCAACCGATCACGGGGCCAACAAGTCACACCAAACAGCCCGTCAGTTCCAACAGTGCACTATAAGGAACCCGACACCCAACCGTAAACGGCCCCTTTATGAAGATAAGCAACCCCAAACCCCCCTAAACCATAAACCCTGAATCCGGGCCTGAAGCGGCCCCTTTATGAAGATAAGCAACCCTGAACCCCAAACCCTAAACCCCTAAACCCTAAACCCCTAAACCCTAAACCCTAAACCCCTAAACCCTGAAACCCCTAAACCCTGAAACCCCTAAACCCCTAAACCCCTAAACCCTGAACCCTGAATTGGGGCTGCTACCGTACCTTTGAGGTCCTGGGAGCTCTCGCGATGATCGACGATGGGGAGCTGGTGCCTAATCTCAGACATGGAGCCTTCAAAGGGAACTCCAGAAAGTTGGAATATGGATTAATGGTAGGATCCCCTATAATTTACCGTAAAGGGGTTACGATAATGATATTCCAACTTTCTGGCTTCTACTGGCCTTTAGCCCCAAGGGTCCAAAGGACCCAATAATCAGGTACTCGGTTTTAGGATAGTAGTTAGTTATGTAGGTTAGGATTTCGGAGAGCATATGATTATTGGGTACTTGGACCCTTGGGGTAGGGTTTCAGGGGTTAGGATTTAGTGGGATTTCCGGTTTGAAGTTGAAAGTTTGGGGTTTAGGGAGGAGGGTTTACGGGTTTAGGTTTTCTAGGAGTTTGGGGCTTAGGGTTTGGGGGTTGCGGGTAAGCATGATAGTATATAGCAAGTATGCAATACTGGGTAGTCGGGACATGGTAGGTGCCTTTAGCAAACACAAACATAGGGGTTTAGGGTTTTAGGGTTTTAGGGTTTTAGGGTTTAGGGTTTAGGGTTTAGGGGTTTAGGGTTTAGGGTTTAGGGCTTGTTTCAAGTTTCAGCTCCCCTGGACCCTGAGCAGCTCCCGTACCGCCCCTCCATGTTGTCACCCGGTTTCGGTCAATGTTGCACTCGGAACTTTAACCTCTAAAAGCTCTAAGCCCTACACCCCCTAGGATGCCCAGTAGTGCCCGTATTCCCTTTTTGTAGTCCTAGGTTCCTTATAAAGTTACCCAATACCAAAAAGAGAGGCCTTTTTATTCTTAGGTTACCGGGTATCCTAGTCGGTCAATGTTGAACTCGGAACTGTAACCTCTAAAAACTCTAAGCCCTACACCCTTAAAGCCCAATTGGGGGGGCCTCGGCCTTCGAAAGAGTCTACAACCTTCGACCCCCAGAGACTCCAAGATCCCTTAATTAAGGAATATACCTTAAATTATACTAGGATCCTTAATACGATTTAAGGAAATATTCCTTAATTCAGGGGTATTGGAGTCTCTGGGCCCCTTATAGCCGTAGAGCCTGAAATCGCGCATTCCTAGTTTCAGACACACCATAGAACCCAGACAGCACCCGCATAGAACCCCTATGGCCCTATGGAATGTGAGCAGCCTGACTTCCCACGGAAGCCTTCAACACTAAACGCCCTTAAGGCCCAAGTCCCGAACCAAAGCATAAACAAAGGCCTAAAGGATTACAGAAGCCCGAAAGCCTAAAGCATCCTCAAGCCCAACAAATCGAATCCCAAAACCCTAAATTCTTAAACCGAAGGAGAGTCCTGAACCCCGAGACTCCACAACGACTTAACTCAGGACTCATACTTTAAATGATGGCTGGTTTCAGATACATTCCTTAATTAAGAGGCTTTGATATTCCGAGACCCAAGTCCTAAACCTTAACCCTCAGCCCTAAACCCTAAACCTTAAACCCTAAGCCCTGAACCCTTAAACCCTAAGCTTACAGCCCTAAGCCCCAAAACCGTAAACCCTAAACTCTAAACCCTGGCTGGGGGAACCTTATTCTAATTGTTACGGCCCCTTTTTTATAGCGCCCTACTATAGATCCGTTATAGATCCCCTTTAAAGGACCCCTTTACAGGAACCCCTATGGATCCCTTTAAAGGAATCCTTGAGGACTGGAAGATTCTAGCAATTGCCGCTGACGATCCGATGGCTTCTGAACTGCGACTGGGCGGCCGTAAGATGATGTCAGGGCTCTTAAGAGCCTTTCGATGGTTGCTTTTTTTTGTTCAGGGTTCCTTTCAAGGGGTGCTGTAAGGGTCTCTTTAAGGTTTCTGTTTTTTCAGTGCGTTTGAGTTTTTTATTTGTTTTTTTTGAGGGGGGGGTGGTGCTTAGGGTGTTCACTTCAATTTTTGTGGCTTTGGGTTTAGGTATTGGCTTTCGGCGTTTAGGTGTTTTTTTTTGTTTATTCGGTTGGGTTGAATTTTTTTTAGTTACGGCCTTGAAAGCTTTGGGGTGTTTTAAGGGTCGGTCGCAAGTGGAACCTGTGGCCCTTGTTGTAATTTTGGGGCCTCCCCATAAATACTAAATGTAGGACAAAAGGTGCCTTCACCTCTAAGGGCGCATGACCGGGTCGAGGGACTCATGACGCAGGCTGTTGTAGGGCAGACGGTTTAAGGCTTAGGGTTTAGGTTCGAAAGGTGTCGGTTTTTGCAGGAGGCGACAGTACATGGCTTGTATCGCACTTGCAATTTTCAATCCCGTGTTTTGGGGTTGTGCGGCACATACTTACTGACTAAGTCCCCTGAGCCCCCAGTTATGATATAATCATAATCATTGTCCGCCCACAGTCTTTTACTAGTTCGAATCCCCTAGATGAATTAAATCCAACTTGTAAGCCCCAAAGTCCACCTTGATCCCAAATAACCTACCTTGTATTTTTCAAAACCTGCATGAAGGCAGGTTTCCGATTTCCTAGGTTACCCTAAATGCCAAACCCTAAACCGTAAAACCATGAAGCCCCAGAGCTTTAAACTCCTAAGCTAAGCTCTGCTCCGGTCACGGAATTGAGCGATTTATATGGATGCAGGATTCAAGGTGCAGGGGTTTGGGGTTAGGTATGGATCTAGGGTTTCGTGCTTATTCGCATCCCCAAACTGGAACTCCAACATGCAGAGGCCAGCATTTGCAAGGGACCTTGTCTACTGATCCAAACCCTGATAGGGTTCAGGGTTCGGGTTTAGGGTTTAGGGTCTGTCCACTGAACTTTGCAACTCTAAGCCTTACGCTCTTAAACCCGCAATATCCCTCAACTCACAACCTCAAGACACATCAACCATTAACCCAAAGCCCAAACCTCAAGAGTCACCAGAGCGGAGGGAAAACGTCGCGGACGTGGATGCGAAGAATCTCGGTGGTGAGCAGGAGGGAGGAGGTTCTGAAGGAGGGGGTGTATCTATGGTTTATATATGGGAGTTTCCGAAAATGGGGGACCCTGATATAGTACCCTAAATAATAGGATCCTTATTATAAGGCCCCAAAATAAGGTACCCCGAATTTTTGGAAACTCCCATATCGTGTAGAGTTCAGGCTTGCAGGATGTTGCAGGGCTTTACGGATTCCGGACTTGTCATTCGCACCTCCTGTTCTGAAGCCCTTCTGCCCGTCATCAGCCGTCAAAGGTTCTTAAGAAGGGGTGCTTGACGCTTGACAGCAGAACTTCGGCTGTAACTAGGGTCTGCGGTATACGGTTTAGAGTTTAGAGTTTCCGGACTTGTTGTTCACAACTCCTTCTTTCTGAAGCCCTTCTGCCCTTCATCAGCCGTCAAGGAGGACGAATAATGAACTCCGACCGAGCTTCAACTACTTATTTGTGTGGGTCTTGAAAAGGCCGCAGAACTCAGCAGTGGAAGCTTTGAGATTTCCGGGTCTCGGAGCATACAGGGTTCGTACAATTCGCGTACTATTCAGGGTCTATATAACCCTAAGGCCCCAAAGTAGTTCCGTTTTGGGGTTCGTATATAGAATCCTATAAGGTAATCCCAACAAGGAACTACTTTGGGGCCTTTTATATAAGGGTCCTCTCTTTCCTGAAACCCCCAAACCCCCAACCCTGAGCCCTGAAGCCTAAACCCTCTTTTGCAGATCGTTGGTCGCGGAGAGGATTCGAGATTTGTTACCCCAAGGGTCCAAAGGACCCAATAATCAGGTACTCGGTTTTAGGATAGTAGTTAGGTAGGTTAGGATTTCGGAGAGTATATGATTATTGGGTACTTGGACCCTTGGGGTTAGGGTTTAGGGTTTAGGGCTTCTGGGATAAGACACTGCTTGGGGTTCTGCGAATGTACCTCTCTCCATCTCTGCCTCCCTCACTCTGCCTTTCATTCTCGGTCTGAGTCTAGCACATGCACCCTTGTCATATCCGTCGTCTGGTTATGTCCCTCCACTTCTGCTTGTGAATACAGTTTTGCAGCTGCTTGCCTCGCGCCTGTCACCTTTCTCTCCCCTCTGTCGTCCGTCTGTCTGCCGGTCTGCCTGTCTTTCAACCTTTAAGCCCTAAAAAACCTGCAACTCCTAAGCCTTCAGGATTTAGAGTATCGTTCATGTTTAGGCTAAATCCCGCCGCGGAGCAAAAAGCCCTACTTTTTCAGGGTGCCTTATTGTGGCCACAGAGTGAAAAACCTTAAATCGAGCCCTGTTGAGACTCCAACAAAGCAACAACCAGTAAACCCTGCTGAAACATCCCAGAGACTCCAATATCCCTTAATTCAGGAATATTCCGTAAATCATATGAGGGATCCTACTATCATTGACGGTATGTTCCCTAATTAAGAGATATTGGAGTCGCTGGGTGAAACAGCAACTTCGCAACTGGCGCTGGCCAAGGATGCCGGGCGTGATCTCAGGCATCCGCGAATGGTTCCGATGGCATCTGGGCTACCTAGTTGGGAAGTGCTTTGGGCTCAGGGTTTAGCGTTTTGGGTTTAGGGTGCAGGGGTTTAGAGTTTAAGGCTGAGGTGTAGGATTGGTTCAGAGGTCTCCGGCAAGATTCTTGCTAAGTTTTTGCGCTAGATTGGGACATCTGTTTTCATGCAGGCGTCCTGCTTTAAGTTTGGATTTAAGGTCCCGTCGAGTGCAGATTGCTTGGATTTTGCAGGGCTCTTTGCTTCGGGTGAGGGCGTGTACAGAATCTCAGGACTTTGAGGATGTACTACAGGGGCCTCAATAATCAGAGGAGGGTTTGAGGTATGTTATCATCTGTTTAAACAAGAAGAATCACAAAAACAGTATTGGTGATTATCTAGGCCCCCCCCCCCCATATTAGGTTGCAAGTCGAGCTTAACGTGTGTGAGGCAGCAGTGTAGCAGAAGCGCAACAATGCAAGAGCTGTCGGCAAACCCTAAACCCCCCAACCTCCGAGTGGCTCTGACGATGAATAGCGGCACTTCGAGCGAGTCCTCGTGCCTGGAGCTGCGCTTGAAGTTGCCTTGGGTGCCTAGGTAAAGGACGCTCTGCGGCCATAAGCCCTAAACAGTAGACCTCTAGTCTCAATTGTGGTTCCTTCTTTTGGTTAACCAAATTTATAGTGTGTAGGATCCTAACCATAAAACAGATTAACCAAGAAAAGGAATTACAATGGAGAGCATACAGTAGAAGCCGGAAAGTTGGAAACCCATTAGCCTCAATCCTTAAGAGTAATGTGTAGGAGTCCCAGCACTATTTGGCCTTAATCCGGTTTCCGACTTTATGGGGTTTACTGTAGGTATCCTATACTTGGAAGGGCAGGGGACTTAGTAAGTAGGTTATAAGTAGGGTTATAATTGGGGTAACTCCATTTAAGGTACTTATATCTCTACTTATAACCTACTTACTAAGTCCCCTGCCCTTCCAAATAGCACCTCGGAGCCCGAGATCCCTAAGCTCCGAATCCCGCACTCAACTCCCAAACCGCTAGAAACACGGAGCCGGAGCCGGAGGCCCTTCACACAATCCAAATGGGAGTTTCCCAACAATTACTAGGATGCCCAGTAGTACCCTTATTCCCTTTTTGTAGTCCTAGGTTCCTTATAAAGTTACCCAATACCAAAAAGAGAGGCCTTTTTATTCTTAGGTTACTGGGTATCCCAGATTAGGGGTACCTAATTCTGGGGTGCCTATAATAAGGATCCGAGTGTTTACAGTACTATGTGGAAACGCCCATATCTCTACCAGCCCGCATGCTTTGCTTCAAAACCCAGACCCCAACACCGTCTTTCGGCAAGATTTAGAGGTCTGAATACTCAATGGTAAGCTCCCTTGTAGCGTAATCTACTGGCACCCTATTCCAACTACGAAGGCCTTCGGCCCCTATATTCAACCGAACACCCGCATGATGAAATTTACAACCAATACACAGCCACATTAAAACACAAAACGTTGAAAAACCCTAGAGAGTTCTGTTGAACAGCCTTATAAGACCCCACGAGACGATTGTCAAGAGCAATCTTCAAAGACCGTGCAAAACCTGATTCCGAGGTACAAGACGCCAGATGGCAAGCCTCTGAACCTTGGACCTTGTTCTGTGCGTGTAATTTCGCGGCATGAAGAATCAGCTGCCTGTACTCTTTTGCGGGCTCCTTCTCATAATTCTACTATCACATACCCCACAACCCTATTATTACTATTAAGGCCCCTATAGTAGGAGTTCAGGAACCTCGGGTGTCGAGCTGTCGAGTCAAACAGTTGTTCTGAATATTGTTTCTTCTTTGTCGCGGTGGTGGTAGTAGCAGCAGTAGCAGCAATAGCTGTAGGAGGAGGAGGAGGAGGAGGAGGAGGACCAGCAGCAGCAGCAGCAGCAGCAGCAGCAGCAGCAGCAGCAGCAGTTAATCATTAGATGTACTGAGAAATTACGACTACGACACTGGTGATCATTATTGTTGCAGTTTATTCTTAGCACGTGTTTACCCTCTCACGATCATGATACTGACGATGGTCCTAGTGGCAGCGGAAGTTTGCAGCAAGCACATTCCCAGAGGGTCCATATACACTACTACTATGGAATCAGGCCCGAAAAGACCATTTCCATTATTCCGGGATTGTCGCTGCGAGGCTCTGCAACGTAAGTCAGCACTTGTGAGTCGACGACCCCCTTTGAACCTAAACACTTGACCAACACCCTGAACACACCCCCTCACCACCAGATGTGTGTGTATATATATATATATATATATATGTACATGTATATTATATATACATATACATATATATATATATATATATATTTATGTGTGTGTATACTTACAAACCCTCAACCCTACACCAACCAAAAACGAGTTGACCCCGACAGAACGGCCGGGAGCCACAGGAACGCCTTCGGCTTCGACGAGGCTCCGTTGGATCAGGGGGCCGCCCTGGAGGCCGGGCCCCTCTTTGCTCTTCAAGGCTCCCTTTACGGGTTTAGGGTTTAGGGTTTAGGGTTTAGGGGTTTAAGGGTTTAGGGGTTTAGGGTTTGAGTTTAGGGGTTTAGGGTTTAGGTTTTTAGGGGTTTAGGGTTTAGGGTTTGGGAAGGGCTCCTTTAAGGGTTCCTTTTAAGGGTTCCTTTCAGGGTTCGGTTGGGCTCCTTTAAGGATTCGTTTAAGGGTTCCTTTTAGGTTCCTTTTAGGGTTCTCTTGGGGGGGGCCTTTGTTGGGGTTCCCTTAATAAGGGAACGCCAAAAAGGGCTCCTTTAAGGGATCCTCTTTGCCTGCTCTAGGGCTTCAGGTTTTAGGTTTTAGATTTTGGGGTCTTGGGGTTTAGGGCTTTAGAGGATTAGGGCTTCAGGGTTGTAGGATTTAGGGTTTCGGGTTTTGGGATGTTTTGTTTGGGTTTGGGGTGTGGAGTTACTGCTTAAACCCCAAACTGCTCTAAGCCTTCTAGGGCTTCGGGTTTAGTTTCCGGTTGCAGGGCTTCGGGTGTAGGGTTGAGGGCTTAGGGCTTGCAGAGTTTAGCATTTTGGGCTGGGAGACTACTTAACGCAGTAGGTTTGAAGTTTCTGGGAAGAAGCCCAAAGCCGCAAAAAGCAAAAACGAAAAAACGCGGATTCAGAATGCACCACTGCAGAGGATACTCGATCGGGCTGCGTTGTATCATCCCAAGGAATTCGTAACATCTCTTTCGAATGAATGCGACGTGAGGTTGAGCGTCTAGGTTCAAGGTTTGCCTCCTTCAAGTTTCTCGTGCCCCTTGATCATAGGAGGCCAAAAGGGGTTTTAGCCTATGGGGGTTTAGTAGGGATTAGGGTTCCCATAGTAGGGTTCATATTCAGGAATCCCTACCCCAAGGATCTTAACCCCCCCTTTTGGCCTCCCATCACTTGAGGTCATCAGCGAAACCCATGGCTATTGGAAGCAGCTTCGACAGTCGAAGAGTGACGACCTTTGGGTGGGATAAGTACAAACCTCACACAGCATCGTTCAGAGTTTATAGGGTTTAGGGTTTAGGGGTTCAGGGTTTAGGGTTCAGGGTTTAGATTCGGGTCGCTTCGTGTGTTGACAGGGTTGTGGTGTAGATATGCGTATGTGCAGCGACCACAATGTCCCTCTGCTTAAATCAGGTCGGGCGTGGGTGTGCAGGCGATTGCTTTGGGGGTGGAGTTATGGTTTTCGTCTTTTGCTTAAGGTTTGTCAGGGAGCTGACGGAGTTTGGCAGCCAAGATGCACCGGGAACATGATATCATGGAATCATTGAAGAGCAGTTTTCCATGCGCCCGTCCTGCTGCATACTTGCGACACAAGCGCCTTAAGTTACCCCTGCAAAGTCTCGTGGATGTTGTGTCTATGAAATGTAAAGTTCTAGCTGCCCCCAAAGGGGAGGGTTTGAGACTCCGTCCCAAGCTTAGGATTTAGGATTGATGGGTTTAGATTTTGGGGCCTCGTGACTTTGACCCTGCAAAGGCCGTGGGGGATACAAGCCCCACAAACATCATGTCCAGCCCTAAACCCTAAACCATAATCCCCTAAACTTGGACCCCAGATCCTCAACCGTAGAAGAAGTTATCCGTCGTTTCTAGAGCTTTGGGCTTGCAGGATAGGCAACGCTTCGTATAGTAAACCAGGCTAGTGCAGCTCTAAACTCTCCCCCAGGCTCTCGAAGCCTTACGTCCTCAAAGCTTTCAATCCCTCATACAGTAGAAGCCAGAAAGTTGAAATATGATTCTCCTAACCCCTTTATGGTAAATTATAGGGGATGCTGCCATTATTCCATATTCCAACTCGAGCGTCCAAAGCTGTACGCATCAAACGCCCTCTGCATCGCATGTCTCAGTCTAAAAGATGTAAGTCCCAAAATCCATACTCTGAATAACTTCGGGGACCTAAATCCCTCAAGATCCCTACTATTTGGGTACTTCAACCCTTGGGGCTAATATAGGCTGCGGCTGCTTCCAACCCCGACCCTCCCAGTCGAATGCGAAAGCAGAATACAATCCAAACAAGCAGGAAATTGAAAATACGTTCAGGTAGTTCAGGGTAGTTCGCGAAATTGCGGTCCCCTTCAGGGTCCCTTTATTTAAAAAGTGTGCCGTACGATTTTTGGGACCTAAAGAGGGACCCTAATGATTGAATTTAGAGAACTACCCATAAACGTTGAGTTTAGGACTTAGGGTTTACGCTAGAAGTATTCTTGTGCTTGTGTAGACACATAAGCAGGTACATAAAGCCAACAAGTCCAGGGAAACCACAAGAAAAATGCACATGCAGCCTACAGTAAGAATTTTTTATGCATGTACAGGCAGACTCATGGAACTCTACAAGTAAGTGTAAACAGGTACGTAAGCAGGTGAAAAACAACCAAACAGGTAAGTATGTGGTAGTAAAGGCATATATATCTGTACAGACATAGACATGCTTATCTGTCGATTCCCTTTCTATGTTTTTGCTATTTATGCGTATGCACATGCATGCTTGCCTTGGCGATGAAGTCGTGAGGACCTCGGACAGAGGATTCATAGGCTTCTTGCCAGGATGAGCTGCAATCCTAAACAGCGAACTAATTTACAGCCTAGGGTTTAGAGTTTAGGGATTCATTAGGAATCAGGGTTTGAACGCTACCCCGTTCCAGACCTCGTCAAACTGTACTTTGAAGCTTGAACGTGAAAGCAAAGCCTCCGCTTTAAGCCGCAGCTCGATAGCTTAGCGCCTAAACCCAAAACGTATAGCTATAAACCCTAACCTGAAATTTTCTGCAGCAGGGAGTGCAACGTTTCACTGGTGCGAGCCGCTCCCGAAACGCACTCGGTCCGGCTTGCGGCTGCAGACTTCTTTGACCCGACAGTCCGTGTGTAAGTGCGTCGGCCGGCAGTCGGTAGTGGGTCAGTCATTATGAGGCAGGCAGGGAAGGTAGGGGGGTAAGTGGGTCGGTGGGCAGGTGGGTAGGCAGGAGCTGGGTGATCGATAGTAAGGAGCTCGGCGATATATACGGTGTCATCAGTGTCTTTGGTGCTAGATGCAGTGATGGCCGCACCCATGTCGCTGCATGCCTCAGACTGGTGCGTTTCGCAGACGACGCATCTTATGGAATCGGGCATTCGGCTTCCGCAGCCGGCGTAAGTTTAAATGCGCATCCTAAGGCGACCCAAAGCTTGAAGCAGTTGGCTTTGTTTCCGGGTGTACTGTTGAGTTTGGAACTTGGGTTGTAGGATGTAATCAGAGTTTGCGACCGCGACGAGTCCATGTGGAGATACAATGAAATAGCTTGCGGAGCAGGACCCTAACTACCCACATCATTTTGGTTCCTTATTATAGTTATAGTATAGTGGGCCCCAAAGCCCTATTTTTAATTATTAAGGCCCCTATATTACGACCCTTAAACAAGACTAGACCCTAAAACCCTAAACCCTAGACCCTAAACTGAAGCTGCGGAGGGCCAACTTTGCAGCCCAGTTCGACTTGCGACGGCTGTTAAAGTCGCTTCCGTATTTTGCCATCGCGGGAAGCTATGTGAGCTGACGTTGTGGGCTTCATGAGGGGCAGTGGTTTGCAAAGGTCTCACTCAGGGCTTCATAAGGGCTGGTTTCTCAGGTGTTCTTGGCGGATAAGTGGTTAAAGTAATAGGATCTGGGGTTAAGGGTGTAAGGTTCGGGTTTGGGATCAGGAGTTAGGGCATATGGTTGAGCCCTAAATACCAAACCCCCAACTGTAAGACTAGAGCCCTAAATTTCCCGGGGGGGGGGGGTGGAGCCGGGTTTCGACTTCAGTGTTTAGCATTGGGAATTGAGAGTTTGGGTTTAGGGTCTTCAATTTCTGGTTCAAAACCCTAAACTTACCCTAAACCCTATATAAACCCTAAACCCCTAAACCATACCCTAAACCTCTTTATGGTTGACGTTTTGACAACACCGGCTCGTGACCCGATCCGGTGCTGATAGAAATCCATATTTCGGTTTAGGGTGTTTGGGTTTAGGGTTTAGGGTTCAAGGGTTTACGGTTTTGGGTTTAGGGTCGAGATACTTAAAGTATGCAGCCTTTTTCGGGAGCATGCTGTCGAGGAAATCAGCCTTGAGACGGAGGAAGTTTCAAATATTAGGGCAAGGTCCCAATTCCTGGTCCGTACCCCCTGGGACCTCCACTCAGATACCAGAAACAGGGTTTAGGGTTTAGGGTTCCATAAATCTCCAAAACCCATTCGACTCGCGAGGTTAAGAATAACGGTCCTCCATCCCACTGCCATTGGTGAGCATAGCTCCCTGCGCATACCTCGAACCCGCACTCTCGGGTGTGCAAAAAGGTAGCATGGCTCGCTTGGCGATTTCGTTTCTTTTGGATTGTAGATGGAGGGTTTGAGGTTTGGGGTTTGATTAGGATCAAGATGGGCACCGAGATTAATTATTACGCACTTCACTACATTGGACTTCCCATCTAACTGAGTAATTGGGTGTGCGTGATTGTTATGACGGCAGAGGTAGTCGCAATCTAGCGTCCTTATGCTTTTGCCTTCAACTTCTGTTGCCTGTCTGCGCCTATCTCCTGTTCAAGTTCCTGGAGGGGGGCGGGCGTGCCAAGATGGCCACAGCTGCCAGTCTCGTATTTGAGAGGATTGCTGGCCGATTCAAGCTTGAGCACGAAGAGGAAATCAGTTGCTCGGGCGCCAGGGCTGTGGCAGCTCTTCAGGCCAGTCACGCCTAACCCTGGACCCGAAAACCCCCAAGCTCACTACGAAAGCTCAAGAACCCTAAACCCCTAAACCCTGCACCCCTAAGCCCTACAGCCCTAAACCTTAACCCCAAACCCTAAACCCCTAAGCCCTACAGTAATCCCCATAACGTTGGAAACCGGATTAAGGCCAAATAGTGCTGGGATTCCCTATACATTACTCTTAAGGATTGAGGCTATGGGGTTTTGGCATCTACTGTAAACCCTAAACCCCTAAACCCTACACCCCTAAATACGAAACCCTAAAGCCCTAAACCTTAAACCCTAGACCCTATAAGCCCTAAACACCCAAGCCCTAAACCCCAAAGCCCTAAACCTTAAACCCTAGACCCTACAAACCCTAAACACCCAAGCCCTAAACCTTAAACCCTAAACCCCTACTTGGAAGGGCAGGGGACTTAGTAAGTAGGTTATAAGTAGGATTATAATTGGGGTAACTCCATTAAGGGTACTTATAACCCTACTTATAACCTACTTACTAAGTCCCCTGCCCTTCCAAGTAAGCCCTAAACCCTAAACCCCTATAAACCCTAAACACCAAGCCCTAAACCCTAAAACCCCAAGCCCTAAACCCTAAACCTGAAACCCTAAACCCTAAACCCCCAAGCCCTAAACCCTAAACAAACCATGGCAGGACCTGGAGAAGCAAAGACAGCAACGATTGCGGCGAACGAAGCGATCAAATGTGGCGGGTGCCAAGTCAAGGATCCTGGCCTTCATGAGGACCTACCATTACTAGGTAGGGTTTAGGGGTTTAGGGTTTAGGGGTTTAGAGGTTTGGGGTTTAGGGTTTAGAGGTTTAGGGTTTCCTAAACCCTAAACCCAAAACTTGGTAGGCCTTTGGGACATATTATTTTTTACCGAATTGGGCTTAATAGGACCCCATTTGCGAATATTTTTCAGAGGCTTTTGAACGGCCAACCTAGATAATGTACTGGCCTTAATAATTAGAATAGGGTTTTGGGGGGTAGATTATTCTGTCTACACTTAGAATTAAGGAACCCCAGGACCCTATCCTAATTCTTACGGCCCCTACATTACCCCTTTACTAGGCTCCCCCAGACAGAGCCAATTTTCATCGTTTTTTGCAATCCAAGTTCCAAGCCCTAAGTTCGAACGCCCAGAGGAAGCATGGCTTCAAGCACAGCGAGGAGAATCTTAATCTGAACTTGCCAAAGCGGAGTGCATTTGGACTTTGCTGGACTTATCCTCTGCATGAAGCAGCCAAAGAGAGAGACTGGC